GGGCAGTGTTCCTGTTTGAGCATAATTATTGGGTAAGAGAATAAAAAAAAAAAAAACCCTTTCAGTACAAGACACACAGAGAGACCAAGTGTAGAGTAGATTGCTCCTCTGAAGTGGAATAATAGAAGTCATGATACAGGCATTTGCTGAGAGCTTCAGTCCTTTGCAGATGGGAGATGAACCTGTTCAAATCTTGATGTCTTGTTGAGTTTCCCCTTTTCTTCTTTTTATTATCCACCTTTTGGGTAAGGTTACCTTGTCAAGTTCATGCTCTGCAATGCTGTTTCAAGGATGGTATTAATTTGGCCCACTAATCCATTGCTTTTGTAGCTAATTGCTTTTACTCTGTTTTGTGGCTTATAAAATGTCTTAACATTTTTCAAGTAATAAAGTAAAATTTTGTAGACAATAATTATGTTTTCTATCATTCTATCTTGTTTGTAAACTATTATGGTTTGTGTCTAGTTGTTCCCCCAAAGCCTCATTCAGTTATGGGGTGGACTTCTAGAGTTTGTGGTTAATTCATGATCCAGTGCTGGGATTATGCACCGGTGTGAGTGCTGCTGGGAGTATGGGTTCAGTGCTGCTGGGATTAGGGATGTGGGTGCTACACTGCCTGGGGCAGATAGCCTGAATGCAACGTAAGGAAGACAGACTTGCTGTCTGTTGCCATTGTTGCCACTACTCCCATTTGCTCTAGGTGTTTTGCTATATTTCACTGCCATGAACTACTGCTCTTTGCCATGTGCCAGTCTGCCTTGGCACCAATTGAGTATGGACTGAAACCTCCACTAACTGTGGACTGTGGACTACATAAACCTTTCCTTCCTTAATTTTTTTTTTTTTTTTTTTTTTTGTGGTACTGGGGATTGAACTCAGGATCTTGTGCTTGCCAAGCAAGTGCTTATTCTACTGAGCCATCTCCCCAGCTTTCCTTCCTTAATTTTGAATGTCACGTATTCTGTCCTACCAATGAGAGGAAAGTAACTGAGACATAAACTCTTACTGTCTATAATTTATCCATCTATTATATTGTCTCAGTTACTTTTCTCTCATTGCTGGGACAAAAAACCTGATACCTAATATTAAGGAAGGAAAGGTTTATTTAGCTCAGTTAGTGGAAATTTCAGTCCATACTCAGCTGGCTTCAAGGCAGAGAGGCACATGGCAGAGGACAGGCTTTCATGGTGGTAGAAAACAGCAAAGAACAAAGGGTGGAACAGCAGCTGCAATAGCTAGCTAGCATCTCCTCCCTCCTTACATTTGTGTGCAGATTATCTGCCCCAGGGCAAGTATAGCACTCATACTGGTAATCCCAGCATTGGATCATGAATTAATCACAAAAAAATTAATCACAAACTCTAGAAGCTGCCCCAATGACTGCATGAGGCTTTGTGGGGGACAAAGAGACACAAACCATATTCTGCTTATAAATATAGTTTTCAGGTCATTTGTAGACATATAAAACCAGGGGTTTGATAAGTGAGAAGTGATCATAAAAAGAGATCCTCTTATAGTGGATTGAGAGCATAAATTATTTAGTTGAAATCAGAGAATGCTGAGTGTACCCTAGGGCTCAGTGGTCAGTCTTTGTACATTTCTTTAGTTTGGGAATTTAGTGTCTTGTCTTAAAGTCATATGCAAGTTTTGGATGAAAGGACAGCAGCAATCTAAATGAAAACATGTGGGGAGTTTTATTTATCTATAACTAAAACAAGAGCCAACTATTTCACTGAATTCTTTCAAATGATTTTTGTGAGCTTGCTGGGACGGTGAGGTTATTAGCCAAATTTTATTTGTGTGTTCTTCTGTATTTTAACAAGTACTTATCCAACCAGAAAACAAACCTCATACTTTTGAAAATAGAATGGGACAGAATTATAAGATGAGAGGCAGTATGTCATAAAAACTCTAGGTTCTAGTTGAGTTCCAATTTCATCTTAAACTGTTTCATTTATTTATTATTTCCCACAACCTTACCAAGGAATAATGTATATTGAGTTAAGCATATGCTTTTTCATCATTTTTGTATAATTTCATGTTTTCAAAGGAAAAATAGGCATCATAAATAAATGTTATTTATGAATTGTTTACTTATATTATTTATTTGTTTATTTAGATTATAACTTATACAGGCGCAGGGACCAGGTTTGATCCCCATTGTGCCATGCCAGACCCTCCCCCAGGGTGCTGAGATGGTGACTGAGATTGGGTGTGGTAATCCCAGTGTTTGGGAGGCTGAAAACAGGAGGATCACTGAGTCTGATTTGTATAATGAGACCCTGTAGACCCTGTACTAAATACATTAGAATGTATCAGCAAGGGGCTGGGAGATAGCTCAGCAGTCTAAGTGCCTGCCTGGCAAGCACAAGGACCTGAGTTCCATACTCAGTACCACATGCTGTGCAGGTCTGGGAACCTGGGTGTGCTGTGCTGGCTGTCGAAACTGGGCATGGAGGTGCACACCTGTAATACTAGCACTACAGAGGCTGAGACAAGAGCATAGCTGTGAGTTGGAGCTGCATAGTGAGACCCTGTACCAAATAAATAAAAATTTGAAAAAAGAATGTGTCAGCAAATACTCACTGATTTGACTTTTTGCTGTAAAACTCAAGCACACTTTTAATATAAGTGTGAATATGCAGAGCACAGTTACCAATGGCTACTTACAGTGTGGAGAATTAGAAGTGTTTTTTCAGGTGGATAAATGATTAGTAATTGGCAAAAGATACACTTCCTAATAAGAACTCATTGCTTTACTGCCAAACATGTTCAATTTTGTGCTTCTATGTTTTGTTCAAACTGACCGTGTTGTGAGAACTATTCTTCCTCCATCTGTAGCTTTCCAAATCCCTTCTGTCCCTTTGAACTCACTTTTTCAAGGGAGAGTCCCTAACTGCTTGCAACTCTGATCAGATCTTTTCTGAATCACTTTAGAGGTTTCTGTACTCATTCTACCCCTATCCTTGGGCAACAGCAAAGTACCTTTGTTTCTTGGTGTTTTGAAACAAGGTCTTGCTGTGTACTATGGGTTGACCTTGAACTCACAGCAAGTCTCCTGAGTGCTGGTATTATAGGTGGGCACCACCACACCCAGCTTTTTTTTCTTTTCTTTTCTTTTCTTTCTTTTTTTTTTTTTTGTAATGAGGCAAGTTCTGAAACTGTAATCCAAGCCATCCTTGAACTTGGTATATAATACAATCTGGCCTTGATTTCCTTGTCCTCCTGCCTCAACCTACTGAGTGCTACGATTTCAAATGCATGGAGACAGTAAGCTTCTTGTGGGCAGGCTGTGTCTAGAACCCTCTTGAGTGTCCTGAGTTTGTTAATGATATACACATGCTCATATTTATAGCAGAATGATTCGTAATAGCTAAATCCTGGAAGTGGCTTTTGTGTCTGTTGATCATTGAGTGGATAAAGAAGATGTGGTGTTTATAGACAATGAAGTACTTGTGTGCCATAAAGAAGGATAAACTTGAGTCATTTGTAAGAAAATGGATGAACTTTGGAGTCTATAATGTTAAGTAAGATAAATGAGACATGCAGGCTTAAATACTACATGGTTTCTCTTGCATAAGAAAACCAGAATATAAATAAAGAGCAAAATTGGGGCTGGGGAAATGGCTCAGTAGGATAAGTGCTTCCCTGTCAAGTGCAAGGGCCTGAGTTCAATCCCCAGTTCCACCAAAAAAAAAAGTAAAATAAAAGATGAAAAATAGGGAGTATGGAGATAGGTATTTTGTAAAGTGGAAATGTACAAGATGGAAGTGGGGTGGATGGTGGAGAGGGGAAGGGGTAGACAAAGGACAGAGATGTGTTGTGCACATGAGGAGCTGCAAACATTGCTAATAAAAAATAAAAGTTTGAAAAATACAGTTGAAAGCTTCAACATTGCAAATTATCTCCCTCTTGGGATACATTTTCTGAACTTGGGATACACTTGCCAATCCAATCATAGAATAAATACTATATGTATTTTACTTCCGAACTGGAAATACAAAGGTGAGAAGGAAGGGCATTATCTGTCCTCATTCTAGCTGAGAGGAGAGAGACAGGCTTGACATCATTGTCAATTGATGTAATTAATGACAACTTAGCTAAAAGGAAATACTGTGAGGAAGCACATTAGATAATACGGTAGGATGTGGCTTTGCTAGGGCAGTTGGGCAGGTTTTCTGGGGAAGGGACATTTAGAAATGGTGAGTGAGTGATGTGAAGCAGACAGTCACAGTGAAATCTGTGGGACGTTATTGTAGGCATAAGGAGCAGCAAAGGCGAAGGCTGAGATGACAGTGAGTGTGGAGAACTTCAGAGATGGGTGGAGAGGAGGACCTGGTTGTTGTAGCCTAGTGAATGGGACCAGGAGAGGAGACGAGACAGAAGTTTAGAGGTTGGCAAGGGCTGGATCAGGGCATTGGTTCCAATGGGAATGTCACCTTCTGAGGTGGGTCTTGACAGAGGAAATGAGCATGATTTGTTTCATGCCCGGATGATTTTTCAGTGTTTTTTGTTGGAGGACCTGACTACAATATCTATCATCAAGTTATCATGAGTTAAATGGTAATTTTGACCTGATTTCTAGCAAAAGTATATAATTCTGTACTGAAAATAAATACATTATAAACGTAAGTTCCACTTGTAATAATTGTATGCTGATAGAGCTCAAGTTGCTATAAATAAAATGTCTTCACCATAATACTGTAAAAATCAAACATATTTCCAGTAATCTGCAGTGTTTCAGTGTCTTTTGTGGTTTTTGATGTTGTAGGGGAAAAGTTTATGGAGACTGTTTCCTGTGAAAAGCTACTTGTGTAAATCAATTTACAGCCACTGAATTGTTCAAAATTACCATAATATATATCAAATATAATGTATATGTTCATCACTAGTGTGGCCTAGTGAGTATTATAGAGAACAGGAAAAATAGAATATACCTAGTTTTCTATAGACTGATGTCAAAGACTATATTCAGCTTGTTTCTAATTTCACACTGCAAGGCCTCCCATTGCCTGTCATTCGCCTCGCCGATGGCAGCAGTGCACATGAAGGTCGAGTGGAGCTCTACCACGCTGGCCAGTGGGGGACCATCTGCGATGACCAGTGGGATGACGCCGATGCAGAGGTGATCTGCAGGCAGCTGGGCCTCAGGTTTGTTTTCACTCTTCTTGTTTTGCTGTGTTTGGTTTTATTTTGTGTGTGTGTGTGCATGTATGTGTGTTTGATTCTTTGAATCTATTATTTCCACATCCAAAGGCAGGGGCTGTTTGTTTAAATTGCATATTTCTGTGAAGGAAGAGAAAAAGGTAGCTTTGATCTTTGTACTAAGATGTAGGCTCCCCGAAGAGCACTTGTACTTTGTGGGTCTCACCTGCTTGTGTCGGAACTGGAGTGATTTTATGTCCTTTAAGGATTTAAGATTTTCATACTTTTCACTAGCATCCTTTGTTTTATGCCCAGCTAATGGCCTGCACGGTGACGTAAAGTCGGTTCATGAAACATTAGTTGTTAGCTTGTAACTGATGCTTAATTCCTGTTTCCCAAATAATGTGCAAACTACTGGAATTTGCTTTCTTATTTGTTAAGTAGGTGTTTAGACTATTTTTGAATATATATTTGGGCCAGCCAAATAGCTCAGTGGATTAAAGCACCTTCAAACAGGTGCAGGGGCCAGGGGGTTCAGTCCTCAGGCATGCTGTGCCAGCCCCGCCCTCGGGGTATGCTGAGACCGCAATTGAGACTGGGCATGGTGGTGCACGCCTGTAATCCCAGCTCTTGGGAGACTGTAAACAGGCAGATCACTACAAGTCTGATCTAGTAGTGAGACCCTGAACACCCTGCAGACCCTTCCCTAAAATGCAATATATATATATATATATAGATAGATAGATAGATAGATAGATATAGATATATTTGTACTCACAGTTATCAATTGTATATGTTCAGTAGTGTGCTAATTAATTTACATGTTAGTTACTAAGAAATCTGTTGCTTTGCCAAAAATATTAAGAGCTTTGAACACTGTAATAGCTTGTTAATATTACCAAATTCTGAAAGCATTATTCATTATTCTAAATTGAAGTTACAAGATTTTTATCTCCTTTTCCCATTGATGGACTGGGCATTGAACTAGGGGCCTTAATACTGAGGTACATGCCCAGTTCCCTTTTATTTTTTATTTCTGAGACAGACTTGCTAAGTTGTTCAGTTGTCCTCTCTGGGCTCAAACTTGTGCTCCTCCTGCTTCAGCCTTTCAGAGGTCTCAGATTATAGATATATGTCACCATCTAATATTTTCATTTCTAATATATTTCTGTGAAAAGGCAAGTTTTTGTCACTTAGAAAATTGCCTATCAAATTTAAACAACACACCATATAATTACCTTTACAGTTTATCAAAGTGCTTCTAAAAACTCATGCTGTAAGGTAGAGTTCTTCCATGAGAGACACAGATCGTCTGCACTTCTACAGAGATTTCTTAAACAAAGGCCATCTGGATAATAATGTATGACACAGAGAAGACAGAAATGGTATCAATACAAAATCCTTAGTGCTGAACACACACCCGGGCCAAGTGTTAACCTTTCTCTCAAGCCTTCAGTCACTGCCGTCTTTCTATAAAAGGATTCATGTTTGGAAAAATGATTAAAAGGAACACATATCCAGGTACACAAGTAGGGTGGTCAACTTCCCATGACTGTGACAGAACACTTAAGATAAAAAACTTACAGAGGACAGGTTGATCCTGGCCAGTCTTGACCATGTGGTCAGCTGGCCTTTGCTCTTGTGCCTGTGGTGAGACAGAATGCTGCGTGCCAGAGCAGGAGTTGCTCACACAGCCAGGGAGGAAGGGGATAAGGCCCCTTGCAGCCACTTCTCAGTGCGCTGAGGCCTCCCATAGGACACACGTCTTAATGCCTTTGTGCCTTCTTAGAGCACCACAGGCTGGGGAGCAAGCTGCTTAACATGGAAATCGTTGAGGGGTACTTACCCAAACCATTCCAACAAGGCTGCAGCAATCTTCCATAGACTGTGGTATAAACTAAAATCCCAGCTTCATAGAGATGTTTTCATTAAAGGCACTCTTATACTGTGAGCTGACACTGTTCATTTCTCTTGATTTTATAGTTCTCTTATAAACTTGCATTACAGCAATATTCTACAGCTCCTCTCTGTCTATAATTTGCTCTGCTCGATCAAAGGCTAAGCCCTTTCAGATGAAATAGTTTCTTAATGGCACATGGCTGGTAGCAGATGGCATAATTGTTGCTCTTCTCAATTTATGATTCATTCTTAAGGAAATCTCATCTCAGTCTTATTTGCTTTGTTGAATTTCCAGAAGGAGACTACGTCATGCCTCCCTGAAGAGGTGGTTAAAATTTCTTTGTGAGATGCTCTTTTTGTTGACCCTTATCTTTTAATGATGTCTGCATATTTTTGATAGCTAGAAAGCTTTCTAAATACAAAAGGAATTTTGGAACATAAGATACGTAAATCTGATTAACTCACTCTTGGATAAAGATGAGGAGAAGGAAAAGAAGTCAGCTGTTAGAAAATTAGGTAACTTGAGAATATGTATGTTCCAGTACCTCATTATTTCAGGTAGAGTCACTTTAGAGTTCCTTTTTGTGTGCTTCACTTTAGAAAGTACTTCCCTTTGTCATTCAAAATTCATTAAAGCATAGCTTAAAACTGTGACATTACATGTTATTTTGTTGATATGCCCTAACTTACATGGGATTTTAAAATTTAAACATTTCTTTCTCCTAATTTTTTTTTTCTTTTGCTATACTAATATTATACAGAACCATACTGAGTTGCCATCAAGTAGAATAAAACCTCTTCTGGTGCAAATTACTTTAAAATGTTTCTTCTTTTTAAGTTTTGCCATACTTTAAAATTTTTAAATGTTTTTACACTAATGATAGCTAGGATAGGGATTATTGAGCAAGAAAGAGGTCCTCCAATGGGTGGGGAGTGCGGCCCAGTGAGATTATACACTGTCCTTGAAGTTGAGCTGTTAGGTGGAAGCAGCCTCTTGAGGCCTGTATCTCCCCTAACTTAGCACTCTTTTCTTTCAAGCTGCACTGCTTGTAAATTGACCACATGTTAATGAAAGTAAATGCAATAAAGGGGTAAAAGCAACGGAAAGGTCAAAGGAGAAAATTACTTTTGAAAGAACATGAAAATGAGCACGCTATAGATAGGCTGCATTTGATGTGTCGTGTCCTTCAACTGAGAATGTCCCAGAAGGCCATATTTCTAGTTGGCTCTTGTAGTCAGACTTGGTATCTAGTAATAGTGTAAGGTTGGGCAAATTATTTAATTTCTGAGCCTCCGTTTTTCTTGTCTATAATTTGGGGATAGTAAAACAGTGGGACCACAGGGAGGATTCGATGAGTTAATAAAGAGCTATTAGAACAGCTTTGGGTACACATCCCATGTCAGTATGGAGTTGGAGGAGATTCTTTCCCCCAAAGAAATCTAGAAGAGTATTGATCATTACAAAGAAAGCTAGAGTATTGAGAATTATGAATGATTTTTTCATGCATAGTTCACAAATACCACAAAATAACACTTAGAGGAAGGAATTATCTTATACAGTCATCTGGCCTAACTCTATTCTGTCTACCTCAAAGAGTTAGTCAAGCCTGGGGATTTAATTGGTCAGATATTGCTGCTTACTTGCCTTTTCAGGGAGCAGTGGGGACCAAAAGGACAAATTTTTTTATCAAGACAGTTTAATAAATTAAATAGGTTTAAGAGTGCTTTGAATAAGGATCAGACAGAATCAATTGGGTATGTGTTTATTAGGAATTGCCATTGAGTAGGTCAACCAGCTCTGCATAGAAAATAATAACTCAGTGTATTCTGTCAGAGCATGCTGCTTCACAAATTTATTCTGTGGTTGCGGAGTAAGAAAGTAGGCAACACTGGGACTCTTATCACAGAGGAACTGGCAGGCTAATGTGGAAATAATTTCCATAAAGGAATGAAAGAGAACACACAGCTTTATTGAATTTATACAGAATTTACTTTGACGTTTCTGTGCACAAATTTGCTTTCCCCAGTATTGTAAGACTGCATTAAGAGCAGAGTCACCAGTTTCTTTGGTTTTCCCCTGAAATCAAAACTAGGACTCAAGGAAATCCTAGAGACTGAGTGAAAGAATGTGGGAATATGTAAATATTGTCTTTTTAATTTTCAAAAACTAAAAGACTTAGTTGGACAATCCCATTTGTGTTACATTAGAGTTTCCTGATAAAAATTTCTCCCTAGAGTTTATTCTATTTCTTTATGATTATCTTATGAATTTTAAGCTTTTTGTGATCATTAAACTGATATTTACAAACAATGGAAAATATAGAAATGTACAAGAAAGAAAACAAAATGCATAAGGTGGCACTTTCATAGTGGATTTTAACAGAGGGGATTTTTCCCAGAACCACTACTTGAGACCTGTATATTTCCAAAGAAAAGACACAGTTCAGGGACAGTTAACTAGGCTTTTTTGTTTTTTTCCTAGAACTATGTTAAACAATCATTAATATATTTGAAACATAAGATAAATTAGTTATCCTGCCCCAGTCTGTCTAGAGTCACTGTCAGCCATGGATGATTTTAGGATTTTCTCTCTGTTGGAAATGAGCCCCAGACGCAGTTTGTCATTGCAGATAATAAAGCACTCAGACAGCAAGGAATCTCACCAAGCCTTTTAGTTTTGCAGAAGGGTGCAGGCTTCAGGTAGCGAGCACGCAGAACAAAGGTGGATTCCTCGTTTTATCTGTAACACTGGAAGAGCAGCTGACCTTTTCCCATGGACTGGTTTGGAAGTTCACAATCTAGCAGGACTGGTTCACTCAGAGCCAGCACAGGGGAAATCTCGGGGGTAGCTGAGGGGAAAGGAGAGAAGAGTGGAGGGGAATGTGGAGACAGAAGATTCTTGGGCTGTGATAAGCTAACTGTTTCATAATGTTGTTCCCAGGATTGGAACAAAGTGTGTGTTTTCTGTCACTCAGTGTGTTCAGGAAAGGCTATCTAGGATGGGCGAGAGGTCAAGATGGAGTCAGGCCTGTTTGATGGAAATGACAGAACTTACTGTTTCTCATATCTTAGAGAATAAAAGTCTATAGTTTATTACCTGTTAATTT